TATACCATACACGATTAACTGTGGATCTTCTAGGATAATCCAACCAAGTATTACTCATTACTCGATTAGGAAATGTTTAATAATTAATCATAATGCGTGTACTAGTGTACCTGGTTGAAAAAATATGAATTTACTTCATATATGCCTAACAAGACGTGACTTGTCAGTAAATTTGGGTGCGTCTTGTTTACTACCGAATCGCATATCTGATAGACACTTAGTCAAATATATTTGATAGATATCAAATATCGAAAAGTTGTTTTGTTTGTAGGTTATTTATATTTTAGTAAGTAAACGACGGTGAATAAGAAATTTGGGTGTAAGTCACGACATGAAATATTGATATCTAATCGCCCTTTTCTGATAAGAGGTAACTTTAGCTTTGAAGTATTTGGTCAATATCAGAGTCATCTATATTATCTTGATAATACAAGTTGATTCAATCAAGCGAATTAGTCAGCGCCTAAGCTCTACATTTTTGCCTAATATAGTACATGGTATAAGAACAACTATGTTCATTTAAATGTTATGTGAGTGGAAGCAGTCACCCGGTAACTCTAGACTTAAGTTTCATGCTAGTAGACATGCTTTTAAGCATGATACAAACGACGTCGAATTACTTAGACTAAGAAGACGTATCGCTACTTCATCAATAAATTTGGTTAGGAACAAGGAATAGGTAAACATGACATTGATCAACATTCACTAATTAGTTAAATTTATGTACATTATGCTAGAACCATTAAATCTAGGTTAATTCTGAAATATCATCCTGTTTAGTAAACATGTAACGATTGATTCGATTGTTTGTGTACCAAACTTTTGGAATAAAAAACTACTGTAATTAGGATTATTAACACAATTGCCTCCTTTAAAATCATCAATTACTAAATACAACAAGTTATCTTATAGAGAAACTCTTTGTATTTTTATAAAACCTACATATCCACCGAAGTTATAGTTTAACGGAATATGTGGAATGTTGGGGAATGTTTTAAAACAACATAAATGTAGCCAGCATTAAGACATTTTGACCATTATATCAAACAAAACCCAATAGCTCACTAGTTCAGTGTTCTATCGATAAATTCTACAGGAAATAAAATTCAAACCATTGAAAAATGTTTATCGTCAGGTTATTCACTATACAAATTTAAGTGAATGAAAGGGATTGCATAGTTATTTAGTTAAATCTTTCTATTAAATGTATTGTTATCGTAAATTTATAGACGAAGTCTATGAAATGTATTACAGATTTTTCTAATTTCACTGAATGCTAGCATACTCAGAAAGTTCTGTACTTTGACAGATTATTTATATAAATGATCAGTAGTTTGATACATTAAGTACTAAAAAAATTGTAGTGGCTTTGCTCCGTTATTTAATCACCTCATCAACAGTTATAATATAAATCTCAACAGTGTTTAAAATCAGAAAGCAGTGAGAAGCGGCAACTACGGTTTATTAACGGATAGCATGGAACATTAAGCTACAAATACATCGAGCGAATTTGAAGCAGATAGGCGAATATGTGTATGTGAGCAAATACATAATCAAATGTATAGCCAAATCGGATAAGGGTACAGCAAGGTGAAGCAAAGACTAACAATAGGATTTGAGTATATAATATTACATGGGGTAGAGAACGAAATTATCGAGTAATATTTAAGCAATCAACATTTTAGCTAAAGTCCATCATGTGATCAAGCGTATACATTTATACAGATATGATAGTGATTATAATAGTACAAATAAATATGCTCATCGTTACTGTTCAAATAACATTGTCTGTTAAGTAAGTTAATAATAGGGTTTAACTAAAATTAACCCATAATCGAAATCGGTTGTAAGATAGTTGCTATAAACGAACATTGCGATTTCTTTATTCTTCATATATCAGCTAACACCATATCTATCACGTTAACTAATACTAGATTCCTTGATCAAATGAGTTTACTTTCTAAGTTCATATCAAATAAATGTTAATATTAGAAAACATAAACTTAATTGAATAGTTTATAATTCAATTTAAATATTTAAATTATGTATCTAACATTTACTTTTAATATCCTAATAATTTTTTTTAAAATTCATTCATTATTTTACATTTTAACAACGTTTATCAAGATAAATTCTTTCACCTTGAAATGATCAAATCATTTAAAAAGGACTTTTTTTAATTATAGATTCATAAACATGTAAATTGTCGATTTTGGTAATACCCAAAAACTAAAAAATCAGAAAAAAACAAAAAAACGTTTTTAGAAAAATCATTTTAATCGTTGGGTGAAATGTAGACTCACTAAAAAGTGATTTTTTTTTAAATATAGAACTATTAAATGTTAAGCGATCATAAAATAACAAGTATAAATATGAAAATTATAATGAATTAATTAAAGAAAATCATACATGGGGGGAGGGGTAATTTTCATAAAACATAACATTTCTAATTGGTGATTTAAATGAAATAATACAGATTAGATTTATTTGAAATCATTCAATATTCAACAACACAATTGTTTTGATATTGAATGCTATGTATGAAGCGATTACGAGTTCACTTAGTCTGCGAACGGAACAAGACTCTGTGACCAAAGACCAATAAGCTAGCTATTCTGATGCGTCCCAGTCCCGTTAACTAGAGAGAGAAGTTCAAGCTCGGACGGGAAATATATCCCACAAGCAGCCAGAAGCATGAGCAATCACGGCAAGTCTAGTCGGGAATACACTCATTTATATATTGGTCTGTACACCCACTTTTGATTTGTAGTCAGAATAAAATCACATATATGAAGAATACTTAGTTATAAAAATCATATGCTGAGTACAATTCATGTCAATTGACTACAAGAATATCGTATGTTATACAGAATAAAATGTTATAGAAGAAAACAAAACAAATACTATATTGAGTGATCACCAAATTGAATTAAACGGAATTAATGTTGAATAAAAATCATAATGAGTAAATCAATCTGATTTTGACTTTTCATTCCCTCATAACACCTCTTTTTCTAAAGACTCGAAGTTTAGACCCTGAATTTAAATTTTCTGACTGTCCTCCCCAAGAAATAATGTTGGATCAGGCTTCATGGTATTTCTGGAGCTATTTGGCTCCTTTTTTTGACAAAATCCATCCATTTTTGTAAATACTTAAAAATTAAATGAAGTATTTGAATTTTATCTAAACCTTTTCGATCAATAAATTATAAATAAAGATCTACCATTTTCAAAATATCCATGAAATGTACGGTATGTATCATTTTAGAAAATATTAACTTCTTGGATTGTATTAGAAAAAATAAGTAATATACTTCTTACCAGTTGTTAGTCTTCATCAAAGTATATACTCATTCTTAATGGAACTGATGCCTTCAGTAGTGTTTAAACTGATGTTATGCAGTACCATTGTCATAGAGGCTTCCACCAAGCTATCTGTGATAAAACCGATTAAATTTAGGTCTGAGATGCTTATTATGGCTGATAACTCCCTTTTCTTTTAGTGTATTACTCAGAATGACAATTAAGACATGGTGAACCAAAAACAATGTGATTCAGTTTATTTATCAGTGTATGAAAATGTACTATTGTTAATATATAACTAGAACTATTTTTAATTGTCAATGTAGTTGGATTGTGTACACATAATGATGGTGATTAAGTTTGTTGAGTTAAAAAATTCAGAATGATAATAAATTACAGAATTCATATGCTACCTAATATTGCTAACTAAGTTTGACATACATACTGGTGTTTAGCAATATATTACTGATAACACATCTAAGCAGTCACATGATTCATAATAAATATGAGTGTATGCTGATAAAGTGATGTGTTTCAGAATAGTCAATTGCAGATAACTAATAAATAAAAAGTTGTTTTGTTTCATTCAATTAGAATAACAAGAAATATGACTTATTATAAATGATAATGACAACATTTTCAGGTCTAAAATTAGGAATAAATTCGTTTTGATAATTCGGAGATACATCGATTATCTTTAACAATAAAAGTCTTGTTTATTACTAAAACAATAAACTGTTGGACTTTTTTATTTAACAACATTCAGTTACAAGCGAATTTAATGATTTGCAAAGACCTAATTCACATAGAATGTAGTAAAAGTATTTTCATATTAACTACATATTCCGAAACACCAGAAATTACATTTTTAGGTGTATATTTTAGTGTAGAGGACAGTAGATTTCATCTCTTTATAGAAATCATAGTAGTCTAGAGGTTACGTGTTCGCGCGTGACACCAAAACGGATGGTGCTCTGTTATACGATGACGAACTTGCCTAATTGTACACCCTATATAACTGGCTCCACAGGAGCAGTTGAATCGATAAATACACATAGATTTGGTAAATTCAGGCAATTTGTCTTTATTGGCCGTTCTTATTGTGGGACGGTTGTGGAAGATAGCACTCAGTCTGGCTTCATTGAATACCTTTTTTACCGCTTTTCTCAATCTGAATGTCATCATCGTATTAAACACTGTTATGATTGTGCCTTACTTTGAGCTGTATCTGAAATTGTACATGGAAATAAAATAACTGAGTTCATTGAATGGATTAAATTCTTAATAAAATAATTATAATATATGGTTGGCTAAAAATCTTATAAGGACACAGAAGATATGTTCGATATTCGCTAAATTATGCTGAGTAAAACCCGAAAGAAACAACAGAATCTCTGTCAAATAATGCACGTCTGTCAGTATACTCGTATTACATTGTTATAAAATCGACAAACCAGTAGATTTTTGAAACCATCGTCGAAAACGTTCTTCGGAAAAGTACATTTTCTTTGTTATAATTCCTAATGATTATTTCTACAGATTATTGGTTTTTAATAAGTTGTACCATACTACTTACTTTTATATGGTGTTCAAAATTGATTTGCCTTCAGTTCCTAGTCTAACTGAGTGACCCTTTTTTATTTATTTGATGAGTAAATACAATACGAATATACATCAGAATTTTTACAATTATATTTTTTCATTAGTGTATCCAAAGTGATCCATGTCGTCCAGGCAGACAAGTACGTCAATTATCGTGTATTTCTGTACAAGTCAACGGATCACTTCGCGAACTGCCAATGGCAGCTTGCTATATGACTGGGAAAGCAATTCAACCAACATGGCGTCGATGTTTTGAAGAAAGTTCAAGAAAATGTGACAGCAAACCACCAATGATTAATACTGACACTTTAACTATTGTTCAGATGAGAAAAGTAGTTTCTTTAATTTCTCTACTTGTATACTTTTTTGTGTCTGGTTATATTAAAATGTAATAAGATTCTAGACAGAGTTAATCTGATTATAATTTCTTGACTATTCAAATATTTCAGGTTCTATTATTATATTGTTCAATGTTTAGAAATTGATAAAAAATGCTCTTAACAACTAATTAGACATCACTCTCAAATTTTTCAATAATGTTCAATAAGGTCTGATTGATCTACATATTCACTTTGTTTTTCTCAGATCTTGAACTGATAAATTCTTATGTACATATGACTTTATGTGAATTTACCATATCCAGATTATAGATTACCCATAATCTAATACTCTATGAGAATCAAAAGACTGAAATGAATAAGTTTAACAGTAAATCATAAACAGAGTAGCTTTCTAAAAGCAACCAATAGTTAAGTGAAGTTATCACAAATACACTATAGCCTACAGGGTAATAAATACTAATTAATTTTTGAATAAATATATAAATTTGCTGAAAAAAAACTTTAATTAGTACATAACTGAGACTTTTTTCAATCCATTTCATTATAAACCGCTATACTAGTTCACATATAACAATCTAATTATCATAGCATTTTGATTAGCCTTACAGAGTACTTCATAAAGTTCACTATATGTATTAAGCTAGTTCATTGTGGAAAAATATACGAACATTCAACTTGAAAAACTCATAAAACTATCATGAAATACTACAGTCTATGACTATACTTCCAGGTACCAATTCTTATCATATTGTACACCTGGAAAACTGTTTCTTACGAACAAAATATAAGCTCAACACAGGAGTTTGTCTTTTTCTACTGTGGATATGAACACTCGGAAGATATCATGCAAAATTGGTAAATATATGAAAACATTTTCTGAACTGTCCTGTCCATAGAACTTAATAATTATACCACTAGATACACAATGAATTTGTTGTGTAAAGTGGCATAAATTAAATTAGTTTTGTCCAGCCTGCAATATAAACTAGATGACTACTTTCGGTCGACAGATAGTAGTATTTAATCGATTAGCTTATTATTCACTCCTGATAGAATATTAAAAATTCGATTAACCAGCATATTTTAGTTACCTTGATACATTTCACAACTGTCTTCCACGAACTTTACATAAGTGATTTCTCTAAGAGTGGCGACCATAATATGTCTCGAGAAAGGAAAAATTAACGATAGCAATTACAGGATGAGATACGTTCATGTGTATCTGTTTCTCAAGATAATAATCATATATCCATTTAAATTTCATTTCAATATCTCACACATTTACTTGTTGTTGAAGCAAGAGTAAATTTTCCGAATTTATTGTCAGATCTATTTCAACGAATCATTTAAAGAAATAGCACATTTTACTGTTTATCCTTTTAATGATTCTAACAAGTTCTAAATAGTTTATTGTTCAACAGTTAAATATTTTCGTAATTTATTTTTACTTTAGGTGAAAGTGATTGATTTGAAAGTTGGCCAGCAAGCATTCGTAATACCATTTACCCGTGTAACTGTACGATGTCCTGTACAGTATTTTACAGCACAAGAATTACAATGGGCTAACCCAAACCATGGGATATTAGCCTATACAGGAGCAATATCTGATAGAATAAGGGTAGATAAACGAGGAAGGTTACACATACGAAGTTTCCGTCTCATTGACGAAGGTGACTGGACGTGTATAGCTGGTTCAATGAATGCCACAGTCACGTTAACAGCTAGAACTCCAGCAGCAGGATTCCACGATTGGGTGCAAAGAAATAGATTATGGACCAAAGGTATGCTTAGCGATGATCCTAAAGCAATAGCTATAAACCATGAAATTATTCAATGGGTTGTTGGACCATGGAGTACATGTTCTACAAGTTGTGGCCAAACTGGACAACAATTTCGTGTAGTCAGATGTGAAAAAGTTGATAGTCGATTCTATCAAATACTGAATGATCAAGTATGCATTGATAAGCTATTGCCAAAACCACCAAGTACACGAAAGTGTTTAGAAAGTAACAAATGTCCAACATGGTTCGTTGAAAACCGTGATATATCTGTTGTGAGTTACCATAATGTACATTATAGTATTGCAAGTTAACTAAACCAATAAAAGTGATTATTTTTTATTGAGATGATGAACCGATTGATGTTAGACCACCGTTGAGAACCTGGAAGCACCGGACGGCCGTTTTGTCTTATTGTGGGACTCCTCAGCAGTGCGCATCCACGATCCCGCTCGCGGGATTCGAACCCAGGGTCTTCATTCTCTGGACTATTGAGCCGGCATACAAAGCTCAGCAATCTCCATAACCCCTATATTGATAAAAGTGACTATGATTTTTATCAAGTTATACTTCAATTAAATACTTTAGGAATGTTTTTTGAGTTTATTTTAAGATTATTGACATAACTTTATGGGCCTAAATTTGTATTATTGACAGCAAGATAGAATTAAGATTCATCTAATGAATGAACATCAATCAATTTTTACATAAGATAATTACTTGAGAATATATTGTCTCATATTACCAAATAAATATATGGACAATGATAGTTACACACCGGAATATTTAATCTTTTTTTATTTGTAACTACATGGATACACAAGAAAAGAAAAGAAAAGAGATTTTCTTTTTAACATTTAAGAATAATAAATTTTTAAACTCATTTATCATGCAGTATTGCCTTCTATCAAAATATTAAAGAATTTTTTGTTGAATGAATACTTTCCAAAATAATTGAATCTCTTCAAGAGAGTAAAATTTCTTGTCATGTTTACAGATGAACTAAATGACTTATCAGATTACTTCAATGAATTATTTGATTATCCGTTTTGTTTTTAAAAAATTTCGATCAAAATGGAACAAAGTTTACAGTAAATATAACACTATTTACAAATTCATGATTTGAAAGTAATCAATCCAATATAATTTATAAACATTTATGAGAAATTAGTTAACCTACAAGAACAAATCAAGCTTCAATTGACTCATGAACTTAACTATTAAATTACTATAATATCCACAAAACCCCTTTCTGAAAATTATTTATTCTAAAATCAATAATAAATAACTATGATATCTTAGGAATCATAATTATAGTACAAATGTTCTACAGAAAATTACAAATGATAACAAATTGACTACATTTTTTGATGTCATATTGAAAATTGTTTCTGAATATAACCTACTCACTTATGCACAACAGGGATAAAAAAACCATTGTTTTGTTCCCAAACGAAAAAACTTATTATAATTGTAACCAAGTATTAGATCAATTCTAGATTTTAAAGATACAGTATGCATGAAACAGAAGACGTTATACATCTGTTTAAATTGAAGTCGGTACAGAAGCATGATCCGTAACCAAATACTTTGTAAATTGATCAATATTCTCATTACCTTTGTTGTATGTTCAGAAATTGATCTACACATAAAAGCTTGGAAAGTTAAACTACATAGATATACTTCAGAAATAGAATATGGATCAGAAATATTCATTACATTGTACCTTATTAATCAATAAGGTGCATTGTTTGTCCGATTTTCAATGTTGATGAGACAAAATATTAAAAAAAGTAACTACCAGATTTATTTTTTTCATAATTCAAATCACGTATAGAACATAGCTAGACCACTATTGAGAATCAGGAAGCACTGGACAACTGTTTCTTGCTAGTTAGAGACTTCCAAGTAGTGCACATGTTCGATTCCACCATAGGTGATCGAACTCAGGCCATCCAATTTTGAACCTAAACGCTTCATCTTTGGACATTGAACCAGAATCCAGTGGTGCACATGTTCCTTTCTTTTTATTCTATATATTAGACGACTGAAATTTCGTCGATAACCCAAAGTTGTGTTTTTTTAAACTAACTTAACCATTTCTTTGTATGAATTCTTAATACTTCAAGTGTACAGATCGGTGTTTAGATGTTGGTAAAGGTTCAATTAGTGGAAATTTAGTCTGTATGATTGGTGAGAGAACAGTCGCCACAAAATATTGCGATAAATTAGATAAACCAAATATGGAATGTGAAAACCCCATATGTCAAGTACGATGGAACGTTAGTAATTGGTCTCAAGTAAGTTGGTTGTTATTGTTATTACCTAATTAATTTGACTATTAATATATGCCGATCTCTTAAATGTTAACCAGAGGATTTCTAATTTGAAATAATGTAATTATATTGGACCTTTAAACAAAAATCTTATCATGTGTATGTAGATATAATGTAAGAAACAAAACCAGCCCTATGCATGTTTACCAGTTCAAAAGCTCCTGTGAAGTTCGTTGTACAACCAGAGAAATACATCATCGCATTCCTAATCACCACCCTCCAAGGTTTACTAAAATTTAGATAAAGCGATGAGGCTCTATTCTGGAGTATTTTTTAGTGTTCGTCGAAAAATAGATACAAATTTAGCCTTGAAAGTTCTATCAGACTTGTCATGTCTTCAGATTTCGTTTCTTGTCTACATCAGAAGCCATAGGACCACAAATAATTTGGATGTATATGAGAATATTTTTAAAACGTCATTCATTCTGGCCATATATTTGATTCCGAGAAATTATACACACACTACTCAACTTCGTTCAACTTAAATTTTTAATTTTATGGTAAGCTGGTTTACCAATCTAATTATCGTTGCATCCGTTTCATCAGTACTACCATAGCTAATACTGGATTCTTACATCAAGGTCATTTATTTCAAATCTATTCAAATTCTATTCTTAGTCTTGTGCAACCAGCTGCAATAATCAGCCTATTATATAATTTTGTTTTCATTTAAATCTTGCATACATCGCCTCAGCAACTGATTACTGTATTTAGAGAAAATATTGAGATACGTTAATGGTAGAAATAGTAAAGAATTTATTGATTATATCAGAATGAGAAGAAAATTAAACGTCTGATGTTTCTGAGTTCAAAGTTACTTCTTCAAAGAATGCACTTTAGAATTAATAAACTACCATTTATTTGGTATTCATTTTATACTTATTTTTAAAACCTGTAGATTAGTGGACGGCCACAACGAGGAACTAATTGGAAAAGAAAATATATCCCCGCAACTCGTATTCTTCAATGTTTCAAATACAGATAATCATAGTAAGAGTGGTAAAAACAACAAACACTCAGTGTATTACTTTCCTTAATCAATGAATGAGCAAGTTGTATAGTCATCAAATACTTTCTGTTAAGTTGTCATGAAGGTCAATTCAAGTTAAATCTCCTCACAGATGCTTTCGACCAATTATTCACAGAACCATAGTAAATCCGTCAATAAATTTGTAAAGATTTAGTGATTTAAGCAGTTCGAATATGTTACATTCAGCTACAATCTTTCTAATTCTTAAAACATTTGAGATAAATTATAGATTAGCAAAAATACACTATCTTATTTACTTTTTTAAGTCTTTCCACTGTGTCATAAACTATCACTAGTTAAATTAGAGCTACTTGGAAATATATTATGGAATAAGTATGTTTATTTTTATTTTAGTGCTCACGTTCATGTGGTGGAGTTGGTGTTCAAGCTAGACACCTTCTGTGTACTTGGTCACATAATGGTGAATTGGCAGGTTCATTGTGTTATTCCCATCAACTTGCTATTCCAGACGTGATACGATCATGTGAAGTACCTCCATGTAAATTAGGTAAGTGGAATGAATCAGTTCACTCTTTTTTTAAGTGGTAATAGCGTCAAAAGTAATTAGTACCAATACACAGACTTATCGAAACACGTTGTTGAGTGGAAGGAAACCGAAATTGAAATCACCAACTAGTTTTTGCAAACACTGACGTGTTTCGACAGACTTATTAAGTAGTTGCGTTCTGAATTCTATCACCTCATGCGATATTTGAACCAGTTGTTCTTATGTCACATCGAAATACGCCGTCTTTTATGTCCGCAACTTGAGCTATAATGAACAACGAACAGGTCTGATCAAAGCTTTGAAGTATCAATATATATATATATACCAATGATCTGCATTTACGACTCCTATGGTATGCGTAAGACTTATCAATTCTAAACTATATTTCATGGGAATTAGTAAAGGGACCCTCAAAGCACTGATGTTCGGCCATGTTAATCGCGTAATCGAATCAAATCTTTTGAACCAAATTACAAAAGCCAAATGAAAAACTCATTTGTGTTCTATCAAAATAGAGCATCAAATAAAACTGTCTTGCTCACACCGCAAAGGATCTGAAGGAGTACAAATTCTATCACCATGTGAATTACCTCTAAAAAACTCGTTCTCCAGGCAATACGATACAAGCTGAACTTTAGTGTGAATACCAGAGAATTAGGCACGGAGTCATTTGGGTGACAAACGGAAACTAGCCAGTCGCAACCTTAAGATTACAACATATTGTTCAACTAATGCAAGCATCCAGAATAGTTTGTCTACTTATATATACCCATAAGTTAAATATTCATTTCACACTCCTATGTTTTCTTGTTTTCGGACTTAAAAATTGAATTGATCAAGCATAAGTTTACATTAGTAGAAGAATCAGGTGCCAAGTTATAGCATGAGGTAAGAAGCTAAATGCCACCATCATTCGACAGATTAGCAAAGTTTTATACAGATTACTTCAAATGTTTTCGTTATGATGCATTATTTGTCGTTTTGGAAACAGAGGGAAAATTATCAATATATATATATATTACGAATACACCGTATGACAAAACATCTTGAATACATTTCATAACTCATTCTACTCTGTTTATCAAATTAATGTTTAAAATAATTAAACTTATTGTAGTCAATTTTATTCGCTTTCTTTGTCCTTTTACTGTATACAAAGTTGTGTTGACATGTCTAAACACTGTTCAAAGAGGGTGTACTATGCAAGCCATGAGGTCGATGCTCCTTCTAACAACCAGAGCAACAATTTTTATAGGTACATGGAACGTCCGGAAATGTGGGAGACCGGGAAGGCTAGTCAAATAGCAGCGGAAATGAGGAGATACAACTTGGCAGTACTCGGAATCAGCGAAACCCATTGGACCGAAGCCGGACAACAAAGGCTAAATATGGGAGAGATTCTGCTATACTCCGGTCACCAAGAGGAAAATGCTCCACACATTCAGGGAGTTGATCTAATGCTGTCCAAAGTAGCACGAAATGCACTTGTAGGATGGGAATCTCACGGATCCAGAATCATCAAAGCATCATTCAAAACAAAGAAGGAGGGGATCACAATGAACATTATTCAGTGTTATGCACCCACGAATGATAGCAACGACGACGTTAAAGATCATTTCTATGAGAGGCTACAATCAATCATAGAGAAGTGCTCAAGAAAAGACCTCACCATTCTGATGGGAGATCTAAACGCGAAAGTCGGAATCGACAACACCGGATACGAAGATATCATGGGACTGCATGGACTGGGAGAGAGGAACGAAAACGGGGAAAGATTTGTAAATCTGTGTGCATTCAACAAATTGGTCATAGACGGCACAATATTTCCACACAAACGTATACACAAAGCTATATGGATCTCACCAGACCACTCCACAGAGAACCAGATAGATCACATTTGCATCAATAAAAAGTTCCGAAGGACAATGGAAGATGTGAGAACCAGGAGAGGAGCGGATATAGCTTCAGATCATCACCTGGTTGTGGCCAATTCAAAACTGAAGCTAAAGAAGAACTGGAAAACTGGACAAACAGCTCTGCAAAGGTTCAATACAGCCTTCCTTCGAGATACTGACAAACTCAATGAATTCAAGATAGCTCTCAGCAACAGGTTCTAAGCCCTACAGGATCTACTGAAGGAAGAAGAAACTACTATGGAGGATAACTGGAAAGGTATCAAAGAAGCATTAACTTCAACGTGTCAAGAGGTTCTGGGCCCCAAGAAGCATCATCGCAAGGAATGGATTTCTATAGAAACACTGGGCCGGATCAAAGAAAGGAAGAACAAGTAGACAGCAATTAACAATAGTCGAACACGAGCAGAGAAAGTCCAAGCACAAGCTGAGTACATAGAAGCAAACAAGCAAGTTAAGAAGAGCATTAGAGCCGACAAGCAGAAATACGTGGAAGAACTAGCAACGACGGCGGAGAAAGCTACAAGAGAAGGAAATATGAAACAGCTTTATGATACAACGAAGAAACTAGCAGGGAAATATAGTAAACCAGAGAGACCATTCAAAGACAAAAAGGAAGACCAGTCACTGAGATTCAACAACAGCGCAACAGATGGGAAGAGTACTTCGAGGAACTCCTCAATATGCCGGCACCAATGAATCCACCGGACATCGAAGCGGCACACACAGATCTCCCTATAGATGTCAAACCACCAACGACGGAAGAAATCAGAATGGCCATCAGACAAATCAAGAGCGGGAAAGCAGCAGGACTCGACAATATACCAGCTGAAGCACTGAAGTCAGACATCGAAGTAACTACGAACATGCTTCATCTTCCATTCAAGAAGATTTGGGAGGAGGAACAAGTGCCGATGGACTGGAAGGAGGGACACCTCATCAAGATTCCAAAGAAAGGAGATCTGAGCAAGTGTGAAAACTACAGAGGCATCACACTACTGTCAATACCAGGAAAAGTCTTTAACAGAGTGTTACTGAACAGGATGAAAGACGCAGTAGACGCTCAACTTCGAGATCAACAAGCTGGACTCCGTAAGGACCGGTCGTGCACAGACCAAATTGAGACACTACGGATCATCGTCGAACAATCAATTGAGTGGAACTCGTCACTGTACGTCAACTTCATTGATTATGAGAAGGCATTTGACAGTGTAGATAGCAGAACGATATGGAAACTTCTTCGACACTACGGAGTTCCTGAGAAGATTGTCAATTTTATCGGGAACTCATACGACGGACTACAGAGTGAATTCGTTCATGGAGGACAGCTGACAGATGCATTCCAAGTGAGGACCGGAGTCAGACAAGGCTGTCTACTCTCTCCCTTCCTGTTTCTTCTGGTGGTCGACTGAATTATGAAGTCCTCGACATTTGAGGGAAAACACGGAATACAATGGACAGCTCAGAACCAATTAGACGATTTAGACTTCGCAGATGGCCTAGCCCTCCTATCGCATACACACGAACAAATGCAGATAAAGACAGCCAGCATAGCAGCAGTCTCTGCATCAGTAGGCCTCAACATACACAAAGGGAAAACCAAGGTCCTCAAACACAACACGGAGAACAGCAATCCAATCACTCTTGATGGCGAAACTCTGGAAGACGTGGAATCCTTCACATACCTGGGAAGCATCGTCGATAAACAAGGAGGTTCAGATGCAGACGTCAAGGCGAGGATTGGCAAAGCAAGGACAGCATTCATTTAATTAAAGAACATATGGAACTCAAAACAACTTTCAACCAACATCAAGGTCAGAATCTTCAATACGAACGTCAAGGCAGTTCTACTGTACGGAGCTGAAACTTGGAGAACTACAACAACCACCATCAAGAAGATACAAGTTTTTATTAATAGCTGTCTACGTAAGATACTCAACATCAATTGGTCGGATACTATCAGCAACAGCCTTTTGTGGGAGAGAACCAACCAGCTTCCAGCTGAAGAGGAAATTAGGAAAAGACGATGGAAATGGATAGGACATACATTGAGGAAATCATCAAACTGCATTACGAGACAAGCGCTAACTTGGAATCCTGAAGGGAAGAGGAAAAGAGGAAGGCCAAAGAACACATTACGTCGGGAAATAGAAGCGGATATGAAAAGGATGAATAAGAACTGGAAAGAGCTTGAAAGGATTGCCCAGGACAGGGTTGGATGGAGAATGCTAGTAAGCGGCCTATGCTCCTTCACAAGGAATAACACGCGAAAGTAAAAAAATATATATACATATATATACCAATGATCTGCATTTACGACTCCAATGGGATACGTAAGACTTATCAATTCTAAACTATATTTCATGGGAATTAGTAAAGGGACCCTCAAAGCACTGATGTTCGGCCATGTTAATCCCGTAATCGAATCAAATCTTTTGAACCAAATTACAAAAGCCAAATGAAAAACTCATTTGTGTTCTATCAAGTTAGAGTATCAAATAAAACTGTCTTGCTCACACCGCAAAGGATCTGAAGGAGTACAAATTCTATCACTATGTGAATTACCTCTGAAAAACTCGTTCTCCAGGTAATATGATACAAGCTGAACTTTAGTGTGAATACCAGAGAATTAGGCACGGAGTCATTTGGGTGACAAACGGAAACTAGCCAGTCGCAACCTTAAGATTACAACATATTGTTCAACTAATGCAAGCATCCAGAATAGTTTGTCTACTTATATATACCCATAAGTTAAATATTCATTTCACACTCCTATGTTTTCTTGTTTTCGGACTTAAAAATTGAATTGATCAAGCATAAGTTTACATTAGTAGAAGAATCAGGTGCCAAGTTATAGCATGAGGTAAGAAGCTAAATGCCACCATCATTCGACAGATTAGAAAAGTTTTATACAGATTACTTCAAATGTTTTCGTTATGATACATTAATCTTTAAAGTAATTAAACTTATTGTAGTCAATTCTATTCGCTTTCTTCGTCCTTTTACTGTATTCAAGGTTGTGTTGACATGTCTAAACACTGTTCAAAGAGGGTGGAACTATGCAAATTTACAATATATCGTTATCAATGCTGTGAATCATGTCAACGTTATGTACAAATGATTTCATTCACAAAAGATTCTTTGAAAAACTTTCAAAACGAGAAATTCTCTGACATATTTTCTTAATTAATAAAAACAATGCATTTATACAGGTACAGAAGATAATCAAAAA